AAAAACGGTCATGACAGGTAGTGTCATGCCCCGTTAGGTGGCTCACATAACTGAAGAAATGTATATGTAATGAATGTGCTAGCTGTATTGTGTGTTCTCTCCCTGTCTAGCATGTATTGTAATGTACTGTGTGTACTAGATGTATTGTGTGTTCTCTCCCTGTCTAGCAAGTATTGTAATGTACTGTGTGTACTAGCTGTATTGTGTGTTCTCTCCCTGTCTAGCATGTATTGACTCATGTATGAACTGACTCATTGTATGATTCATTGTTCTAGTAATAGTATCAGTAACTTCCTAAACTACGCCTATCGTAGTTTACTAGTAATAGGATTTGTACGTATGAACACGAATGTATACCCTTGCTACCCAAGGGTATTGAGATGGAATGAAGGAACCTTTATATCTATATACATATAAATGATATATAACTAGGATTCAAACGACCTTCGGACAAATAACCGATACCCTAAGTCCACAACCCAACGAGGAACAGGAGGTAGGGTGAGTTATCAGTTCTAAGTCCTTTCAATCCTACTTATATAACTATATCTATAAAGATATACATTTAACAGAATATAAGTGTAAAATATTTGAAGTAAAGGTATTTGATATGAAAAAGGGTTTGTAAAACCATTTGATATGTAAAAAGAGTTTGTAAAACAGTTTGAAGTAAAACAGTTTGGTAATACAGTTTGAAAAGTAAGAAAACCACTTGTTTGGTAGTTATTAATCACATGTGATTGATATAATAACTATAATAGATCAACTTGTATCCCCCCCATAAAAGCATTTAAAAACATTTAAAAGGTTAATTAAGGGGGTATGAACTCACCTGTAGTGAGTGGTTTGGATGAACGGAATGTATAGGATGCTAGGTGTCAAGTGCAGACTTGTACACACACAATGATCCTATTTAACATATAATAACACATATATGTATTCAATTAGTCATAAAAAAACTAATTAACCAAGTTTAAGACATCCTAAGACAGGTAAAACACTTGATTTAAGTGCTATAAGTCCTAAGGATTGCATCTAAGGGTGGTAGGACCTTGCTATTGAGTTTGGGGTTCAAGGGTAAACTCCTTTGGAGTTCACGGTTTTGTTACCATAACCCCTTGATTTTACGGTCGTAAACCCATGAGTTTACGGCCGTAAACTCATGGTACATCTACCATTTTGTGTTTTTAAGCTCTAAAAGTCCTAAGAAGCATTCCTACTTCAAGTATAAGCCTTTGGAAGAGATTAGGGCACCATTTCACTCCTTTGTGGAGTTTACGGTCCCTGGACCATTTGACCTTGGGTTTACGGCCGTAAACCCATATGGTTTATGGTATTTTGATGTTTTCAAGTCCTAAGAACAATAAGGAAAGGGTCTAGACTAGTTTCCAAGGCTTGTAAGGGACTAGGGCACACTTTGGCACCCTTTTTAGGGTTTACGGTCCAAGGTGTTCTTGGACCGTAAACACCTTTGATCCTTTGAATCTTTGTGTCTTCTAGATGATTAAGAAGTGTAAGAAGCCTTATAGCACACTAGGGTAAGGGTACTTACAATAGAGAAGCTTGAAAGGTGCTAAAAGTCCAAGAACACTAGTGTGTGTTCTTGGTGTTCTTGGTGAAACTTGAAGATCTACACTTTTGGAATGATTTCACGGATGGAATCATGTTAGATCACTAGGTTAAGCAAGATTACAACTTTTTAGGGTAAGAAACACTTACATAGTTGAAGATCAAGAAGAAAGGTTGGATGATACTTGAGAGGATTTGAGTTTTAGACTTGAAAATGGTGAAAAAAGTGGTAAATATGACTAAGTGTCATATTTATACCCCTCCCCTTAGGGTTTACGGCCGTAAACACCATTATTTAGGCCGTAAACTCCAAACTCTTGGAGTTTTGGGACATTATTGCTACACAATAAACCCTAGGGCATCCTTGTTGGATTAGTGTCTAAGTCCATAACTATTTTGGTATGTACTTGACCCGATTATGAGCATGGTCCTTTTGGGTTGCCTTCACCATAGCAATATGTAGGATGAATTAAGGAGAGAAAGGTTTAATTATGATTTATTAATATATTATAAGAATAATATATTAAAGGAGAAATCATATTGTTTAATTAATATTAGTCAAGAATTAATTAAGAATTAATTTTGTGACTAAAAGAGATTAATTAAACTTAGGGGACTGGATTTGTAATTATAAGATAATTGCAATTGGGCTATGGATTAACTAAATAATATAGGTTGGACGAATTCTATGGGAAGCCATTAGAAATCGCCCAAGGGATATGTTAAAGGAGTCCATGGGCTGCTTAGGGCTTAAGCAGCCATATTAGGGTTTCCTAGTTGTAAACCCTAATAGCCTACATGTATATAAAGGACCCTTAAGCCCCAAAAACGTGGTGAACTATTCCTTTAGGGTTTCCAGCCGTTTTTGGTGCCTCCTCTCTCCTCCCTCTTCATCCAAGTTGCTTAGTGGTGTTTGTGACTACATTAGAGGTGCAACACTTGAGGCACTAAGCTTTCTGAAGCCAAGGATTGATTGTTATTGCTATATAACAATCAAAGGTAAGATCTAAACCCTAATTTCAGTTATTGTTTATTAGATCTAGGGTTTATGGCTTTGGATTATCAATTGCATGTTCATTAGACAAACTAGATCCAAAGCTATTAGGGTTTGCATGTACACCATAGGAATGATGTATTGCTCGAAACCCATCAGTGGTATCAGAGCCTAGGGCTGTTTGTTAGTGATTTTGATGCTTGTTTGATCGATTTTTTCATGAAAAACGAAGTTTTTTGCCTTATGAATCTCCGACTCGGCGAGTCAGTGGATGAACTCGGCGAGTCAGGCCGACTCGGCGAGTCCATGGATCTAGCAGCGTTTTTTGGCGATTTTGTTGCTGTTTTGGCTTGTGATACTTACCATAAACGTTTTTAATTCATAAAATCCGATTTTTATTGATATTGGGTGATTATCCTTACCAAAATAGAAGATAATTGTCAAAATTTAGATAATCTTTTGTTTTATTAGATAAAGATTGATTATTTGTAATTTAGATTTGAATTATCTTGTGAAAAAGTTTCAATTTTCCCCTTTAGGATTTATAGTTTAAATTTAAACTTAAAAGTTTTGTTTTTGAAATTTGAATAGTTAAACCCTAATGTTTTGAAAGGTTTAAAAACTTGTCCTCAAGTTTTGGAATTTAAATTTTGATTAAAAGTTAATTTTGAAATATTTAAATTTTAAACCTTAATGTTTTGAAAAGTTCAAAACTTGCCCTCAAGTTTTGGAATTTAAAAGTTAATTAAAAGTTTAATTTTGAAATGTTAAATTCTAAAACCCTCGTATTTTTGAAAAAGTTCAAATTTCACCCTTATGGTTTTATTAATTAATTAAAGTGTATAATTAAAAGAGATTTAATAATTCCATAAAGTTTTGGTTTACATTTGATTAAATTAAAAGTATAATTTATTAAATTGAACCACCTAGTATTTTAAAAGTGTAAATACACCCTATACTATATATATGTAACATTAAAAGTCTAATATTATATATATGAGTAAAGAGTCAGTCTTACCGTTAGTAGGCCTCATTCACGAAGCTGGTCTATAAGGGGTGTTTAAGGAAGTTGCCTATAAAACGACGATTGAATGGGTATCCACTCTTACCCACCGCACTCTTGACTAGTGGAGGGTCGTTAGCCGAACGGGTAGGATAGGACGAAACCTTCCATTATAAGTATAATGAAGTACAAAGTAACTACATGCTTTTACAAATTCCCAAATCATAGTTACTTTAGGAAAAATGTGGAATTGTATGCTAATCCATGGAATTACACTTTGTACCCTTGTCGAAACGTTAGTAGAGCGTGTGTGGTTAACCGGCACACTAATTTAGGTTTGGCATTGGTGGCGAAGGGTGGCTCGATGTTTATCAAAGATCAATGGAGCGTGTGTGGCTAACCGGCACATTGATTAGGTAATAGTAGCAATTGGGTGCACCACGTGATTCATATGGTTATTCACACCTTGTTTGTGGTCCTCGGCATCTGGTGGTTGTCGAGGCCAACAAAATTAATAACCCTAAATCTTTTACACTAAAATAGTGTATAGTGGTAAAGGGGTCGATCCACGGAGATTGGTTCAATTTATAACTCTATGAGAAATCTCTTTGCAAAAGTACTTGTAAAATGACAATAAAATAAAAATGGGGGTTTTGATCTTTTTGAAATACTTTAACTAAAACTAGAATTAAACTAGAACTTAAATGAACAATTTGGCAAAAATAAGAATTTGATGTGAAATCAATAAGAGAAAGATGGTCGACTTAAGGTTTCCTCACTTTGACTTTTGATGAACATATCATTAGAATCCAATGGTGCAATACTTGATTTAAATCCTTAATTTGGCTATAGTAATCCAAGAAGCTTGAGATTACCTAGACTTTTCTTAGTTGTTAAAATGGTTAGAGAAGCTCATAACAATTTCCTTAGTCAAAGTCACAATTTCCATTAAGCATGTAATTAGTGAAAGTCAACTAGCATTAAGAACCAAAAAGTCACCAAATCCAAGAGGGGTCAAATGCTTTCACCACCATGTTGGAGGAAATGTTTTTATGATTGTGTGAAGCAAAAACAACACAAAAATCATTTGTTGCTTGCTAATTTGAGGATCCTTTACTTAATCAAGAAATTAGCCAACTAATCACCACAAACACATTTAAACTCATGAACTAAAACATACAAGTAGTGATGAGATGTTAAAACACAAAACATTCCCATAAAGATTTAAGAACATGTTCATGGATTCTTCAACATTCAAAAAAAGTTCAAAGGATTCAACAAAAGTCAACCAAGATTAGTTTAGCCAAGCATGGCTAAACTCAAAGAAACAAAGTTAGAGAAGATTGTACCAAACATTTAACAAGAATTAAGAGTTGAAATGATGAAGTTCTTGAGTGTTCTTGGCCTTCAAAATGCTCCAAAACTCCAGAGAGAATGCTCAAAAATCGGATCTCCAAGAGTCCCCAAAAGATGGGCACCAACCTTCCTCAAATAGCCTTCCAAATGGATTTCCGAAATTACCCCTGCAGGGCCTTGCGCGACCCGCGTGCTGTTGCGCGGGTGGGTTGCGCGGGTGATGCCTGATATGGGCTTCTTTGAGTTTTTGGGCCTCCAAAGCATATCCCACTGGCCCAGTTCGAGTCCACTAAGCTTGTAGTCCATAATTCTTCATGTTTTCTTCAATTTAAGCCCAATTTGACTTCTCCAAATCCTCCAAAGCTCGTGAACTCGCCCGATTAATAATCTACGCACGCTTGAATATTCCCCCGCATCTTGCAAATTTAAAGTTTATTTCTCTCCAAGCCTTCAAATAATCATCAAGCTCACTCCATGCATCATCTCCACTACCCATCAAGCCTAAAATCCTCGACGTCCTCTTATTCCAATTGCTTTCCATACGTCCCGAACATTCCCGCTCCACTAGTCTCCATGAAATCTGCAATAAAGCTCACAAAACTAGAAAGTACCCGAAACTGGCCATAAAACAAAAAAAGGAAAATATGCATGGAAATTAACTAAATTATGGATGAAATAAACTAAAATAAACTATAAAAATAAGTAATTAAAATAAACAATCAAATCACCCCAAGCTTAAACCTTACTTGTCCTCAAGTAAGACAAGACTAAAATGAACTCGGGATGAGTTGTCAAGATACAGGTTCTCTCTCTCTCTAACTAACTAAACTAACTATTCAGAAGAAATATCGTGGTTGGAAAGGCCGCAAGGATTTCCTTGCACTTCGACAGAAAGTTGTCAAGATACAGGTTCTCTCTCTCTCTAACTAACTAAACTAACTAACCAACCAACCAACCAACTAAGTATATAAATTTTTTAAAATGGTTGGCAGGCTCATGTGAGAGGCTATCAGGCAAGGAAGAATTATGAAACAATTTGTTGGGCAGTTGGGATAGTGGAGAAGATTGTGTTGAGGTGGTACAGGAAAGGAGTGGGTTTAAGGGGATTTCATGTGGATTCGATTATTGGTGAAGATGAAGAAGAAGAAGACTTTGTGAAGGCACTTAGGAAGCAGAAAGTGGATGCGGCTCTAACTGAAGCTGTCTCCAGGGTGCTTTCTATGGTCCAATCTCAGCCAGCAAGGCAGCAATACCAACGTATGCTTCACAAATATCGCCTAGCCAAGGTCTCACTCACTAACATAACAATCTGTCATTTTTTTTTGTATTTATAAACAAATATTTACTGTTATATTATGACTAACAATATATATATATATATATATATATATATATATATATATATATATATATATATATATATTAATATTTGAGCAACTTTTTCAGGCGCAACGAGGAGATTTGCAAAGTGAAGGAGCCTCAATGTCTGAAGGTGGTATGAATGAATTTATGTAGAGGGAATTACAATGGTTAATTAGTTGATAGTGTTGGGTGTTTATAAATTGTAAGGTGGTTGGGTTGAGTATGTATATAATTATAGTTACTTGATCAATGGAAAGTACATTGATATGTAGGGGTGAGTTGCTTGGAAGACATTGTGGGCACTCGCGTTACCATGAGGCAAGAAATCAAGATTGAACAAGTTCAGTCCATATGGTTTTGGATTTGTCGCAAACCTTCGTTTTGACAAATTCACATGGATAGGAACACATACATCTTAAAATCTAAGTGTCATGAGGTTTCCATCCTTCATGCAAAATGATTGTGAGGAAATGCTTTCACTAAGAGAGATTTTAAGAAGGTAGCAATTGTGAAAAATTGTATTCTCAAATTCGATTATGATTACGACATCCTTTTTCATAGCTCGAATTGTGAGATTCGGCAATTGGTCTGAACATTTGGGACTTAGTAACATAAATTCTGAATTGTTTAGACACACATATGAGCTATCTAAGGCAAAGGTGTATGAGCTTAAAAAAATCTTAGATAAAGGCTTATCAAAGCATTAGGTATTAGAAATATGAACTTAAGGAATTCAATAAGCATTGTTTCTGGAAGTTCAATTGTTTTCTGAATACATGTCAAAGCTAGTGGGAGCATAAGTGTTATGCTGGTAAGAAAATAATCATCATGTGAGTGGGAGCATGATTATTATGGTAAGTATTGCAAGTTAGCAATATTAATTATAGAAAACAAAGATTCACTTTGCAAAGTTGCAAAGGTTGAAAAGTTGTTTTGCTATAATTAAGGGAGAGAATATTATACTTCGTTTCAAAATTCTAAAGCTTAGATCGAGAAATGTTAATAAATTTAGTCAAGGATACATAGTGCATTCTCAAAATTCGATTATGATTACGGCATCCCTCTTCATAGTTTGAATTGTGGGAACATGGCACATAAAATATTATGGCAGAAGGCTGATAAAGTATCACGTCTTTATGTGAGACATTATGCATCGTGTCCAATACGCTTCGGGTATAGGATCGATTTCATATGCTATAATATTTTACCATTCTGAAATTTTCCAAATGCCTAGGGCATTAAGAGGGAAAAAAGGACTAGAATTGGTTTTGACTAAAATAATTAAACAACTATCAAAGGACGATCTGAGGTTCACTGAGGATTTGTCGCTTGTGAGTAGTTGAAAGTATAGTACTGGATGGACTATATTGACATTATTATGAATAGATAAGAAAATATTAATAATGAGTTGTCATATAGCAAATATGGAAATGTTTCCATATATGGGAGTTGGAAATTAAGAATCTATGTAGATTAGAAACTTTTATGCAAAAGGATGTTCGAAGGAATGTACTTTGAGTGAGAGACATCACATCTATAGAATTGTTTTGTGACAATTTCTGATAGAGTACTTTGTGATTTCATTGGCCAAGTCTTGATGACTTTTGTGCTATGACTTTACGAAAGGATCGTTGCATAAAATGTTAGAATCTGACATATTCTAAAAGTGGCAAGAATTTGGTATTCTTACACTAATGATAAGGATTGGGGATTGTGAAATGAGTTTCATTGGAAAAGTTTTTCAATTGATCTATTTTACAAAGTGTGGACCATAGGAAACCAAAGTGTGCATGCTTGGAGCATGGGACAATTGTGGTTATAATTCGAGTAATAAGTTGATTTTTTGAAACAGTAAGCAATGAATAATGAGTAATCAATATGGTGTTTAAATAAAAGTGTTTTTATTTACGCTCAAAAGCTTTGGGTCCATATAGGATTAATATTATTATTGCGTTTCACTTTGCATGTTTTGACTTCCAGAATAACTGGGTTATTCGAACCTCCACAGTCGGTCATACGTTGGAAGTAGGTATGAAGGAAGACTGTCATGAATCTGTCTGCAAATTGTCTAAAGTGTTTAGACATAGCACAAGTTTGCTGCAGAGTTCATGAGTGCTTTGATAAGATTAAAGTATTGGATTAAACCCACGCTCACGTGAATCACTTCATGGATTATATCGCGAGTGATTGTGAGTCGATAATATTGTATATTCTTGAAACCGAGACGTGTGAGTTGTTATTTGCTGGTCGGTTGCACATTGATGATAAGTAAATGCACCAGTAACTTGGTGTTATAAAACTTATTATTGTGTGTGATTCGATCAGTAAATGCAAGCGAGCATTTGATTCTAAGTTTATCCATTCCTTTTACCCAAAGTCGGATAAAAGCGATATTTGTGGGCCTCTCGATGATTTAGTGATGACACCCTGAGCGCTTGGCCAAGCCGGGACTAAGTTGATGTGTTCAATTGTAGTCTGTTGTCAGTCGTCATAAATCAGATGTCGGGAAATAATACATAGACAGAGAGAATGATTTAAATCCATGTCTCGTGTCTATACGATATCTTGAGAATGGAGGAATATATGATCCCTTATCTAAAGGACACGCGTATCTGATAAGATCAGAGTTGACAACGGCTTTTGAAAGCTACGATTGCTAATCAGGTTCTAAAGTTATGCAAAATAGTTATTAGACTTATCCAAGTGGGAGACTGTTGGATTAGTGTCTAAGTCCATAACTATTTTGGTATGTACTTGACCCGATTATGAGCATGGTCCTTTTGGGTTGCCTTCACCATAGCAATATGTAGGATGAATTAAGGAGAGAAAGGTTTAATTATGATTTATTAATATATTATAAGAATAATATATTAAAGGAGAAATCATATTGTTTAATTAATATTAGTCAAGAATTAATTAAGAATTAATTTTGTGACTAAAAGAGATTAATTAAACTTAGGGGACTGGATTTGTAATTATAAGATAATTGCAATTGGGCTATGGATTAACTAAATAATATAGGTTGGACGAATTCTATGGGAAGCCCATTAGAAATCATCCAAGGGATATGTTAACGGAGTCCATGGGCTGCTTAGGGCTTAAGCAGCCAGATTAGGGTTTCCTAGTTGTAAACCCTAATAGCCTACATGTATATAAAGGACCCTTAAGCCCCAAAAACGTGGTGAACTATTCCTTTAGGGTTTCCAGCCGTTTTTGGTGCCTCCTCTCTCCTCCCTCTTCATCCAAGTTGCTTAGTGGTGTTTGTGACTCCATTAGAGGTGCAACACTTGAGGCACTAAGCTTTCTGAAGCCAAGGATTGATTGTTATTGCTATATAACAATCAAAGGTAAGATCTAAACCCTAATTTCAGTTATTGTTTATTAGATCTAGGGTTTATGGCTTTGGATTATCAATTGCATGTTCATTAGACAAAATAGATCCAAAGCTATTAGGGTTTGCATGTACACCATAGGAATGATGTATTGCTCGAAACCCATCAATCCTCTCTCCTGTTATCTCCTGAAGTACTAACTTATAAACACTCAAACTTATTCCAAAAAGCTTGAAAGTTAGCAGAAACTGTTCTGACTTCTATTGAATTGAATGGTTGTACAAAATAGAAATTTCGGGTTGTCACATCATCCCCCCGTTAGAAGGAATTTCGTCCCGAAATTAGAGTTTAAGCAAATAAATAGTTACAAATAACTAAGTAAAAAAGACGAGGATATTTCAGTTTCATCTGATCCTCTCGCTCCCAAGTGAATTCTGGTCCTCGCTTGGCGTTCCAGCGAACCTTCACTATTGGGATGCGGCTTTGTTTCGTTTGCTTGACCTCCCGGTCCATGATCTCTACAGGTTCTTCCACGAAGTTGAGGCTCTCGTTGATCTCGATCTTGTCGAGTGGGATTACAAGAGTCTCGTCGGACAGACACTTTTTCAAGTTCGAGACGTGGAAAGTAGAATGTACGTTACTGAGTTCGCATGGTAGGTTAAGTTTGTAAGCTACAGGGCCGATTCTAGCGAGAATCTCGAAAGGCCCTATGTACCTTGGATTTAGCTTTCCACGCTTTCCGAAGCGTATCCAGCCCTTCCAGGGTGAGACCTTCAGTAGAACACGCTCGCCCACCTGGAATTCCAACGGTTTCCTTCGTTTATCAGCGTAGCTTTTCTGTCGGTCTCTAGAGGCTTTCAATCGTTCACGAATTTGAACGATCTTCTCTGTTGTTTCCCGAATGATCTCCGGACCTGTGAGAGTGCTTTCAGGAACTCGTCCCTTAGCTAACTGGGTATCACCTACCTCAGCCCAGCACAGAGGGGATCTGCACTTTCGGCCATAGAGGGCCTCGAATGGAGCAGCCTTTATGCTCGTGTGATAACTGTTGTTGTAGGAAAATTCGACAAGGGGTAAATGAGTATCCCATGCTTTCCCAAAGTCGATCACACAGGCTCGCAACATATCTTCCAAGGTTTGGATAGTCCTCTCACTTTGCCCGTCTGTCTGTCGATGGTAGGCTGTACTCATGTCCAGCCTAGTTCCTAGGCAACTTTGTAGCGACTACCAGAACCTCGAAGTGAATCTACTATCCCTGTCCGAGATAATGGATATGGGAACACCGTGCAGTCATACAATCTCCCTAATGTAAGTTCTTGAAAGCTTCTCCATCTTGTCTGTTTCCTTGATAGGCAGGAAGTGTGCGGACTTCGTCAATCTATCGACGATGACCCATATGGTATCAAGTCCACCCGTTGTCTTGGGCAACTTGGTTATGAAGTCCATAGTGATCCGCTCCCACTTCCATTCCGGTATTTCAGGCTGTTGTAGTAGACCGGAGGGTTTCTGGTATTCAACCTTGACCTTTGCGCAAGTAAGGCATTTACTTACGAAGGTAGCAATCTCTGCTTTCATGTTAGGCCACTAGTATAACTTTTTAAGATCCAGATACATCTTATCTGAACCTGGGTGAACGGAATAATGAGTGTTGTGCGCTTCGTTCATGACCAAGTCTATGAAACCACCGCATTTCAGGGTCCAGATCCGATCCATGAAATAATAAGCTCCGCCACCTTTCACCTCTAAGTTCTTATCCATTTCCTCTCAGGGATTCACCCGCCATATTTTCAGGTTTCAAAGCGTCGAGCTGAGCCTCCTTAATTTGTGTGGACAAGTGTGAATGGATAGTCATAGTCAATGA